ATTATACAATTGTCCAGATTAACAATCTATTACATCACTAGAGTTCTCAACCATTCAATAAACTTTTTTCACGACACTTGGCAACATCCAGCTCCAATTAGTTGTAAATGAATAAAAAAAAAACGATTGCATTGAAAACGACACGATTTATGCTTGCAATTTTAATCCATCGTATCTCATGGTTAAGTCCATTTTGTGCTTCTCTTGCCCATGAATTTTTCATACATGCACCACATCCATAGAGCTATTGATTTTCCTACCCCGTTAGCTTAACTGCTCCGATCGTCATTGAAAATAAATGCGATTATGACAATTGAGGTTATTGAGGATTTTCCACTTTTATCTTCACAAATTAATTCGTTCTGACTATAAATATATAAATAAGATTATAAACGGTTATACAATTTGTTTATTGCGATGAACAAACAATATTTATCACGATTATGCAATAACTTGAATTTTTTCTCTATCTATTGACAAACTCAATTGATTCGCGTCTGACTTGACCGAGCGATAAATGAAAACTATTAATTTCTATATAGCTGCATGATTGCCATATTTCAAGCTATCCTTTATTCACAAAGTAATTACAATGTAATTTGTCTTATGCATATATGTGTCGTTCTATTTCGTTCTCTATTCAACCCCCTTACTTTTGTTACTATATTACCATTCACATACAGTCATGAACTACTTTACTTTTATTATCATATATGTGACTTTTTTTCTATCATATTTGTGTATCGGTTCGGGTTAAAAAATAGAGAAAAAAAATATTATGAGAATGTATAGAAAGAGTTCAGAAAAGTGCTATGGTTTGGATGTTTGTAATCATAACAGAAATACATTAAGTATTGCATCTATCTATACTTGATCTAGGACTCCTGTTGTTAACATAAAGGAAAAAGTATTGGATTGATAATTTACTGGATTCATAGACTCTTTGTTTGTGGTTGCATCCAAAATACGTACAAGCTATGTTCGTTGCACAGACTCAAGAGTCTAGCTATAATTCATGGCAGAAAATACTATTAAGAAGTCATCAAAAGATATATTCTGTGCCAGAGACTCCAAAAATATACCAAGCACACAAACCATAGTAACAGAATTTTTGAAATGAACAACCTGACCTTAGTCCGAATTAAGAAATTATAAAAAGAACCGCCAATGCTCTTCTGGTCTAGTTTTTGGCATTTCAGATGCCAAATTATATACAATACAAAGCATGCAAAAGATTGTATTTTGCTAAAGTATTTTAACCACTTAAAATAAAATTAAGAGCCGTTCACTTATGACGTCCAGAGGGGGTGCGAGAAAAATAGAAATTCCTAGAAATCTATTGTTCTTTTTTTAAAAAAATTACCTTTAATTTCAGACGTCATACGTGAACGATCTTTTAGACAGAAAACAATTTTATCGTTCCTTTTTCAATTTAACATTTTATTTTCTTTATTAATTTTTAACAACATTAATTGGTTGAACCATAATAATTGAGTTTAAAGGATTAGAAAACACATTTTTCTTGTTAATACAACAAAGTAAGAATTGAACTAAAATAATGACAAGGAACATTAATCCTACAACTACAAATAATCGAAGATATTCATGCGTTGAATTGCATGTTTTTAAAAATACTTTAAAATTTACTTTATTATTAAATAAAAGATATTTTTCGCAATATATAAGCCAGTAAATTTTAATTTCATCCATGTATTCTATGTATAACCCATTAGGTGCAAGAAATATTCTTTTTCGTTCAGAATGCATAAAATAAAATCTAGCTTTATAATTTAGTACTTGATTTTTACATTCAAAGACATCATTAAGTAGTTTACTTATATCGATTTCGTGAATAAAAAATAATTTGTTGCATAAAGATCCTCTACTGTCAACAAAGTTAATCGGAAAGTTCCAAAATTTATGATTTAGTTTAAATGTTACATTTCTAATGTCACTCGTTTTTATCCTTACTTTATCAACTTTATCGAAATCTTCCATGATAATGTAATCGTCAGCACGAAAAGGCAATGGAAAGATGTCATCATTTAATAAATTCAGCTTGTAAGTTGCGATTCTAAATTGTCCTTTATTCTCAATTGATGTTATGTTGAGAATTGAATTGATTTTATATCCAAAGATTTGATGAATCAATAAGAGTACAACTGTAGCTTTATAAGACATCATTTAAGTTCTTTGCTTGAGCTTTCGATTGATTGTGGCAAAAACCAGGAAATGAGAATAGTCAATGTTGAGGTAATCAACTTTATTTCAATCCTTATTTAAGAGATGGACAAACTTTTTTGTCTAGCAACTTGAACTACTTTTCAACTTAAACTTTAATAAAAGATGAAAAAAAAATGGTTGTTTGAGCACCACTTGTTTTGTTTTTTAATACGATTTCTTGAAATAGTTTATTAAGTTGTTAATATTCAATTAGCTTCAAACTATTAATACTAAATGAAGAATTTAATTCCAAGGATTGATTATTTGTGATTTATTTACTGAAAAAGCTATGAAAATATAAAGCTTATTAGCAGACATAACACGAGTCAAATGTCGATGCTCCAAAATTATGAAAATTGTGTTTTAATAATCGACTTTTAAAGACTGTCGTAATTTCTAAACTGTTGCGATAAAGACTTGACCAAAGAGTAGTTTGAGGTCATTAACAAAGAACTACTTCTGCATTTTCCTTTAACTGATTCCAGCGGTCTATTTAGTCTTTTTTATGATTGAAGTATTAAATCAACAACGCTTATGATTTGTTTAACATCGACAAATCTCCAAAGACTCAAATAAAGCAAAAATCTAATTTCTACTTTTGAAAAGCATTGAAAATTCTTACAGGTCTAGCAATAATGACAGAATTTAAAGCCCTTTGAAAAAAAATATCTGAGTAATATTCTTGATTAATAGCATGAAATATAATTTGAACCACAACAACATAAATTATCACAATGGCAATCACAATAACCAAATAAAATCTTCCAGGAATCGAATAACATTTCTTTAGAAATTCTCTAAAATTCCTCTCATTGTTCATCAATTGTAATTTCGAATGTGTGACCAGCCAATAAGTACTTATTTCATCGAAAAATTCCAATTTTGAATAACTTGATGTATTAAAAAAAAATCTGGATGTGTAATTAAATTGATAGAATTGACTTTTGTAGCCTTTGACTGGATCATAACACTGAAAAACGGTATTCAGGACTTCATCAAAGTTGATCTCGATAAATTGAAAAAAATTCCGGCACAACTTTACTGTAAAATTATTACGACTCTCTGTCAAGTTCCAAGCATTATCACCAATTTTTATTGTCACAAATTTCACAAAATTAAACTTGATTTTATTCAAACTTGTTCCAAACACATCTTCAACAATCATGAAGTCGTCGTTACCAAATGGAAGTCGAAACATGTCATTTATGAGGAAGCTTGTCTTATAAGTTGCAAAAACCATTCCTCCTTTGTTTTCAATCGTTGATAAATTAAGGAATAAATTTGTTTTAAATCCATGAATTTCTTGGATTAATAAAATGATGAAAGTAATTCCAGCTTTACAAAACATCCTTTAAGGTCTTCTTGCTTTAAAGAGAATACCGATAAATGAATCCATTACAGAATGGATAAATCAGTTTTTGGAAATTTTTAAGGAAACAAAAATTAAGTTATTAAGTTTAGATTTAACCTAAATATAATATGTCTGCAAATAAAATTAAAATCTTATTTATAATGTCTTAATTTTTAGAATAAGAAGTTTTTTAACAGCATTTTGTAATTGATAGAGTCTTCCTATGCAATTGTCAATAACAAAGCCTGCCCATGCTGCAAAAGGTCTATCGAGGAGATCGGTCAAAGGGTATGGTACTGATGAAATGATCAAAATTGATCAAAAATGATCAAAAATTATCAAAAATGATCAAAAATGATCAAAATGTAATTCTTCAGTTCCACACCTTTGGATTGGTCCTGTCACAACTTTATTAGAGAAGCTTATTACAACATATTGAATTTTTTTGAATTTCTAGTGATTTTAACTTAGCTCGTTAAATTCGAAATACTAAAGATTTTAACCTTAAAACATTTCAAACTTATAGAGGTACCCAGTCACGTAGAGGTCACCTGGTCAAAAAGAGAACTGCCTTTTAACGTAGAGAGCTTCCTGGTGTGACATAGAGAGCTACCTAGTAACATAGAGACCATTTTGTCACAAAACCTTAGACCATCTAGTCTTGTGAACGAAACCTAAGCGTATTTGTCAAAAATGCGCTACATGCACAATCAAACCAGCTCCTCTCCTTCATAATCATTAGGCCATATCCTTTCCCACACAAATATATTCATAATAAATATAGATATTAAGTTGTGAGTGTATTAAGCGTGTCTATTGAGAAAGGACATTCACATGTAAATTTCCGCTCAGTTCTCGGCTCTCACATAAATTCTCCTATGAATAATTACTACAACAAGTTCGTGTATAGTCAGTTGCGGCTATTTAATATTTAAAGACTTTCTATTTTTAACTTTGATTACTGTTTTCATTTAAAGCTTTTAAGAACTTTTTTGAGTGACGTCGAACAGATTTCATAATCAGTGTTGATGTCACAGTGAACAATGACGAAAGTTACTTTAAATGTTGATGATGTAAATGCGTAGCCTCACAAGTGGTGAACGATATTATTTTGAGAAAATTATTGTTGCGGGTTGTTGAAATATTAAAGTGAAATTAACGTCATAGATGATATAATTTAAAATTCTGTTGACTAAGAATTTTAAGGTGTTGTTGAATGGGCGCATAGTCTCGATTATACTTGAAAGATGGTATGGAGCTTTTCTTTTGGATATTGGCAATTGGTAGCCAGTGATAAAGCTAGCTTTATGTCATCTAAAGGCCGAAATAAGAAAACAAGTAAGTTCATAGCTATTGTGTTGTTTTTAAATTTTTTATTACAGAATAATCATTTAAGATATTCTATTTATATGTTTTTAAAGAATATTGCAAAACTAATGACACGTTATGATGCTCAGCCAAGGATGCAAAACTGTTCAATCACATTTTAATTAGTTCCAAATCTTTGATCTAAATACAAATTGTCTTTTAGTCATCGCTTTTGCTTGGAAATAGATTTTCATAATTTTCAAAGCATTGCTTGAACTCCGACCTCAAGAGTTCTTTAGAATCAGAATAATCATGTACATTCTTATCAGCACAGACATTTCTAAGCACATACAATTCATTAAGTCCCGTGTTATCTAATAATTTTTCATCAATCGCAATAATTTGATTTGTATATAAATACATGCTTTGTAAGTTCGGTAAAATACCAAACCAGTCGGAATGAATGACTTTAAATTTGTTTTGATTCAATCCAATTTCTTTTAAATTTGTGAAGGAATTGAATATATTTGCTGGAAGTTCTTCAAATTGATTGTCGTCTAAATTTAAATATTCTAGATTTTCAAGCGGTTCTAGTAATTTAGGATTTAAAGTTGTTAACAAATTTGAATTTAATGCAATCGTCCTTAAATTTTTTAATGGCTTAAAAATATTTTTTGGAAGGTCTATGAACTTATTTACACTAAGCCACAAATTTTCTAGTTTGTGTTGATTCTTGAAAATATTTTCAGGCAGTGATGACAAATTTGTAACTTTAATTTGAAGTTTTTTCAGCTCCAAGTTTTCAATAAAAGAATTTTCATCAATTCTGTTTAACATGTTGTTGGCATATATGTCTAAAATCGTTATATTTTTACAATTCTCGAATGCTTTGTCGTCAATTGTCTGCAATCCAGCACTATGAATATTTAAAGTGTTAAGATTTTTGAATTTTTCACAAATTATTGATGGAAATATTGGAGTTATGGGAATCATTCTTATTGAAATGAATTGAACATCATCATCAGATTTTTCAGGCAAATGCGTTCCAGTCACGTCAGTAAAGTTGTCAAGTCCATTTGGATTGTAGATTGCTAACCAACAGGTATACTCATTTGAAAGGCTCACAAAGTATTCACAATCTATAAATTCATCCTGACCGAAAATTGCAGAGAAATTCACGAAAATTGTTAAAATCCAAAAAACTTTTGAAACCATTTTAATTACTTTAATAAAACACTTGTTGTTATTGAATGAATTTTAAAATATCTTGTATTGTCTTTTATACATTAATTCTTATCAGTATTATTTTCACCATTTTATCAGAATTTCAGTCGCAATAATTCTGATAAATTTGATAAAACTTGGTAAATATTTGTTTTGTTTTCAACAGGAAGTGATTGTTGCGAAAAATAACTTGAGTCATTTAAAGTAGGCTACAACTTAACTGAAGTCATTTACAACTTCTATAACTGTCAAAACAATATAGCTTATCTCTATAAAAAAGAATTTTAAACGCAATTCTCCAAAAATGTTTTCATGAAATACATGCGATGGTGGTGTAATGGTCAGCATTGTTGCCTTCCAAGCAGTAGATCCGGGTTCAATTCCCGGCCATCGCAAATTTTTTTGGCACTTTTTTGAATTTCTTTGAAACTTTTATAATTAAATTGAATTTTAATTTTTTTCTCAATATAAATTAATAAAAAGTTTTTATTTTTTTATATTTTAAAAGTCCAGATTTAATTTTTTGTAACCTTTTTTATGGATTTATTACTTTTAAAAGGATATTTAATTTAATTGAAAAATATGTCAACGATAACAAAGCTTCATGATTTTTCAATTTAAATTTAACAAAATGCACATTTTATCCCTCATATAAATATAAAAATTGCGTTCCTATCTTCTTCTTGTTCACAGTCGAATATGAAAATATATTTTTATCAGTTTAATCCATTTGTTTTTGCCTCTACGACGATTGGAGAATGATTTTGTGTCGATTGGCGATTGTTTTTAATTGAGCAACAAGGAAGTCACTAATCACTGATTTCTAAACCTTTTAATACAAAAGACATTTTTGAGTTAAACTTGAATGAAGTTATGAACCAATCATAAATTTTAATATTTATTTTAAAACTATTAAATTCCAAAATTTTAAAAATAGTAATAATTTTTTTTTGTTTTTTTAAAATTTTTTTAAATGTTTTAGAAAACAGCTGTGCAAGTAGTTGTAAAAAAGTATTGTGGATCTTTTTTTAAAATAATCAATTAGATATTAAAGAGAAGTAGAGTTTAGTTGGAACTAAATGTGAGTTTCTGATGCTTTATATATTTTTTTATAGTAGACTTACTTGTTGAATCTGTCTTAAAAGCACCCATTTTTGAACTTGAACAAAAACTTGGCATACTTTTGGAGCTATTTGTTTTTTGACTCGCATTTTGTTGTTAAAAACTACTGATCGCTGCATCAAAAATGCGGTGAAGTCCTCGATCAATAACACGAGGACTTTTTTATTTTTTTTTATGCTCAAGGAGGTAATATTGTAGCCAGTAAAAATTATTGCACTTCCATTGTGCCAAGCTTTAAAGTTTTATTATTAATTATATTTTTTTTCAAATTTATTTTAGTAAAATGTCAGAAGAAAGACCTGAAGCTGTAATGCTATCAAATAATCGACGGTGGAATATTAGTTCCATTACACTGCTTGTTGCTGTTATTAGTGTTGCTTTATACCAATTAAGTTCAGGTTTTTTTGAGAAAAATTTTGAAAAAAGTTCAGAACTTAAGTCGAAAGAAATTAAGTCAATCAAAGAACCATCAAAACTTAAGTACATCCTCTACGATGGCCTCAACAGAAGTGATATTTTAATAACAGTTGACAGAGTTTTAAGCCGATTGGGACTAGAAAAGATTGAAGTCAGTAATCCATCAAATTTACCAAATGATTGGAATCTATTGTGGACTTTTTATTATCACGAATCTCTAAATGAATTTATAAATTGGTCGGACATAAAGCATCACCAAAAAGTCAATCATTTTTCTGGCAATTACATGCTAGTGTCTAAAAGCTTTTTAACAACGCATGGTAATTTTGATTTTATACCAAAAGGATTTTTAAATTCTGAGGATGTCCAAAAATATGCCACAGCTCATCCGAATAAAAGATTTGTAATTAAATTAAAGTCTAGTCGAGGCGTTAAGCTCATCGAACCTTCAGAAATGAATTTTTCTCAAAAATCATCAGACTATTTTGCACAAGAATTTATTGATGATCCACTTTTGTGGAATGGATATAAATTTGACTTTAATATTTTTGTGGTCATTACATCAGTTAATCCATTAAGAGTTTATTACTACAAAAAAAATGTTTTCTTAAGATTCTGCCTCAAACCCTATAGCACAGCAAACATTAGTGATATTGATGCTTACGTTATTGGAACTGATCATATTGCATGTCAATCTTTTCCATATGTAAAAGCGTATGTTGAAGCTGGATATACCTATAAGGATGCATTTGAAGGTTTCATAAAAGAAATTGGAGGTGATATCGATCAAGTTTGGAAACAGGTTGAAAATGTAATAAGAAGCACTGTGCTGATCAAGGAGAAGTATATGATTAATGGGGTAAATTGATCCTAAACGTTGAGTTTCTAAATGTTGACCAGTTTTTGATAATTTCTCATCCTTCATTTTAGATAAACCGACTTAAAGCTTCAAAAAATTCATTCTTTGAACTTTATCGCTTTGACATGATTTTAGATAAAAACCTCAAGCTTTATTTAATGGAAGTTAATATGAGTCCATGCACAGTTCCCGTTACAGATAGAATGCATAATAAATTAATGTATGAGCATCTTATGTTTAATTTATTTACTCTGATTGGAATTGGAACAGCTTATGAAAAAGAAAGCTTTCAATTTCCTAACTATGATGTCGAATCGATGGTTGCTTATCATGATGCAATAACAGTCAAACCTAAAACATGCTTGAGCTCATCCTGTAATGCTAACTGTACGAGTGATGCTTGTAAATTTTGCTGGAACTGCTTATCTGAAGATTATAGAATTGAAATGATTCAAGCACTACAGGAACAAATGAATCGAGGATATTTCACGAGAGTATTTCCAGTTCAAAAAGAGGATATTAAGGAAGATCTATGGAAAGACATTACACATTTGAATAAATTTTATATCGAGTGGTTTCAAGAAATGTGTAAGAAAAACAAACAATTTTGTTAAAACAAATTTATTCAAAATCTAATAAATTTTTACGTTTGTGCACATCTTTAATCTTAGACTCACATGTTAGACTTGACTAACTTTTCAATTTGGATGAAATCGTTAAAGGGTTGTGACAATAAAGAAGATTAAGATGAAATATCAGTCGATTTTTACTTTAATTTGTGTAACAAAATAAGAAAAGCTTGGACGAAACTTGAATATTGTAAGTCGACATTATTGCGAAGTTCTCATTTTGATAAGATACAACTTACTAGTGCATATGCTTCAGAGTCAATACAAGGTGGGATTGTAGAGTCTAAAAATATGTTTTCATGTAGTTCAGTCGAAAGACGCATAAAATTCTTCATTGTTAACCTAAATGTTTTTAAATATGATCTGGTATCGAAGGTCAAAATATTAGGTAATATATATTATTTTAAATAGATAGTAATAGTAATAGATTATAAAGCTATGAGCTTAGTTTTCAAATTCTTTAAATAATTTTACTTTATCAATCAAATCATATTTCACCTTCGTAATATTGAATTAAATATTCTAGATTATGAATTCAAAATTATAAAATCTTTTTTAATTTCCTGTTTTTCAATTCCTTTTTTTATCTCACAAAATAATATTTCTGTACTCGCTTTCAATTTATTATTTTTTTCTTATTCAAGTGCGATGAGCAAAATCATAAAAATAATTAAAACATTCCTTTTTGTTTTTGGTGGAATTTAAATGGAACGATGGGGAAGCTTTGTGCCTAAAATATTTATTGAAGAGTGGATGATAAAATCCAGGCACGGAAACCAGCCACCTTACTGCTAAATACTGCTAAACTCCATCTCTGAATATGAAATATCGCCAAATACAGCCTAGTTTTCGAGTCTGAGATAAAATGTTTTAGTTTTAGAAGATACACAATTCTCGAACTACTGATGACCTCCTCCTAGTCCACCCTATCACCCTTTTACTCCAATATTGAAACTTTTCGAGATTAAGAGCTATACAGTCTCATTATGAGATGATAAAAAGAACTTATTTAACGTTACTTAATCTGCAAACGAACCCTCAAATCATAAAGATTAAAAACGAACCTAAAATGATTGAAAACAAATTATTAGAAAAATATTTAAAATTAGCTCTTCAATTTCCTGTTCGTATCGTTTCTTCGGAGGTATTTGTTTATTGACTTGAAGATCCTTTTGAGCACTCAGCATTCCGTTTTAAAAAGAGATTACAATATCAAAAAAAGCTCAAAATTTATTAACTTTTTTTTTCTTTTGTTAAAATCTTTTTATTTCAATCTCCACTCAACACACAAAATAGAAGCTTTAATGTTTATATTACATTTTTTTATTCTATTTTTTAGTCTGTTATTGCTGGTGATTCTGTTCAAATAATCTCATCACTCTCATTTCATTCGAAAGGAAGGAGAGAGGAAAAATACCTTTTTAATATCATTTCTTATTTCTTATTCATTCATTTTTGTTTTTTTTTTCAGTAAGATGATGAAAGCTGCGGTAGTTTTTGTTTGATAAGCACTAAGCGCATTTTTCGGGTCTGAAAATCTTAATTGTTTGTTGACCTGCTTCACTGTCTTCAAGAAAGCGAAATCTACGACTTAAATAAACTAATCTCTGCAAAATGGATCCCTCTCCTTAATGTCCCGAACTGGTAGAAGGTCTCGAAGGATAGTGCTGTCTTTAGATGATCTCTAAACACGGCAATGGGTCCACGTGCACCCCAGCTAAGGAAGTAAGTAAGTAAGTGTTCTCTCTCCTGATTGTCAAAAAGTCTAAAATCAAAAAACTTAAAATTTCCTAACACAGTCAAAGTATCAAACAGTCCCCTTTTTCCTACACAACATCCAGCTAACCAGCCAGAATGAGAAGAAAATTTAATGAATTTCTCCTCAAACGATTTTCCACAACATTTTTTCCTCATCTTCTACATAGCTAGTGATGATATTTCTCCCACTTCGTTACGTCTTTAATATCTGTCTTTTTCCTCTTCTTTTGTTTTAAAAGATAAAATATCATCATTATGAGCTTATAACTGATTCCATTAAAAAACATTGAAATGGTAGGAAGACGAAAAAGAAAATTATTATAGAGAAGGAAAAATGAAAGAAAATTGTCGTAGGATAAAAAGGCAAGATGAAAAAATTGATAAAAATGAAAAGGATATTAATTTATAAATATAGAAAAAATATTTTTTGATGAAATTATTAAAGATTGTTGGATATTCTGTGATGTATGAAAAAATTAAATCAAACTTATCAAACGAATCTAAAGCAACGTCTTAAATCACCAATAAAAATTAAAACGACGACTTAGTAATTAGTAAAACTGAGAGTAAAGTAACGACTTAAAGCGATTCCTTTTGGATTGAAGAGACTAAAAGCGATGACTTTACAAAATAAAAAAAAACCTTATCAGAACTTAAAGCGACGACTTTTTGATCAATGACACTCAAAGCGACGACTTTTCGATCAATGACACTCAAAGCGACGATTTTTCGATAAGTGAGACTTAAAGCGACGACTTTACAGAATCAAATTTTTATCGGAACTTAATTGTATGTTTACAATTCCATAAATTCCTCTATTTTCATCCTTTAGAAAATTAAAATTCTATAAACACTTGATAACGATCCAACAGGCTACTCGACAAGATTTTGTAATTGACTGATTCATTTACCTTATCTCCATCATTTTACATCCTCATATACACATCTGCTTATGTTCTCATCTACACACATTTCATTTCCAACAATTTATTGTTGATACCACTGACTGCCTTTTCCCATTGTTGCCTTTATGTCCACTTGCGAGAGTTTTAATTGAATTTTTCTGCGTTTGCTTTCTCATTTTTTTGCATACGTTTTAAAATTGTACATGATCCAATGACTGAAATGAAAACAAAAGGGACATAAAAGGAGGAAAAGTTGGAGAATTTGTGAAAGGCAATTGAAGGATTTTGGCGCTTAAAGCGCTGCTTTAAAGTTGTTATTTGAAAATTTCCAGACAAATTGATGATTATTCTTTGCAAAAAAATCAACACTCATCTCCTGCCTTCTTGCTTTAATTGAAAATCCCTCATCCGTTTATTCATCAATTTATTGATTTTAATTTTTTCAAATTTTCATCCTGTTCGCATTCAGCACACAAACATATTGTTCAAATGTGACATATAAAGTCACTGTAATTATATTTTTGTGGATTAACTTCTCATGTTCATGTTAAATACAATTTTCAATAAATGTTTATGTTGTAACGACAAAATGAGTGCGGGAAAGGCTATTTTTATTTGTGTTCCTGCAAAACATAAAATTGAAATGAAATTTTTTCACAAAAATTACATTTGTGGGCAGTTTTTTGTCGTGTTTATCGAATGTATCGCATTCATGTACGGTGATAATTTTTCCTCCTTGTTTTTTGATACATTATGAACATGAGATGGATGTCCACAAAATGAATAGTGATGCATTTGTTGTATTCGGATTGAGTGCAGTCTTTGGCAGTCTGACTAAAAATAGACTTATTTCAACTTCCACGCAAAACGTGTAAGTTATAAGTTTCACGAAACACACACTTTTTTTAATACAGCCTGATTAACAGCCTCATTTTCAAAAATCTCAAAGCATACCAAAATGTGTGTATTAAGAGGCCGGATTTTTCTGTACATAAACTTTTACATTTGGACATCATCTATGCCTTCAAAATGCCAAAAAACGTCTTTTTTGGGTCTACAAATTTGGTGATCAGAGTCATAGCCGAGCCATAAGGGTCTCGGAAAATAATTCTTTTGCCATTTGATCACACAACATAAGCAATTAAGAGGATCAAATGTCATTTTTCAAAATTCTGAAGTTTTCAGTAGTTTTGAAGCTGTCAAAGTTGGGAAACCTAGAAAAAATGGTCATTTTCTTAAAAATTTTGCGGCACCAGACTTTTTTTCAAACTGGATATTATATTGAGTTCTATCTTATATTCCTCAGCAAGAGCTTTGCAAAAATACCCCATATGACTATATTTTGACTTTACCATGACTTGCTATAGCCTCTTGCAAATCGAAAAAATAGATTTTATATCTACATTAGCATTCCTTATCATTTACAATAACTAGATATGTTCAAAAAATATCGATTTTATATCTATATTAGCATTTATTATCATTTATAATACCTAGATATGTTAACTGTCACGCAAAAGCGTGTAAGTTATTAGTTTCACGAAAAACACACTTTTTTTAATACAGCCAGAAGGACTCATTTTCAAAAATCTCAAAGGGTACCAAAATGTGTGTAATAGGAGACCGGATTTTTCTGTATATAAACTTTTACAATTGGACATCATTTTAATATTTAATATTTTCAGTTTTAATATTTAATTATATTTTCCTGACTACTTTACTTAAAATTCAGTTTGAGATGTTTGTAACTGTTCAATGTTTGTGAAAGGATACTTTTGATGGGAGTCTTAGCTGTAGGAAAGGGAGTGGACGAGCTGTGCTCCACTTCACTCCGCTCCATTGCACATTGTTCGCTCCGCTCAGCAATGTTCCATTTCACTTCGTTGTGACATTGAGAGCATCTGTCAACATCTGAGTTCGATCTTTTCGAGAAATTTGACAACTATTTTGTTATCTAACATAAGTCAAGCGTGGAAGTTCGTGGTTTTCTACGTAAGTCGTGTTTTTTGAAATTTGAACTTAGGGCGACGACTTATTTTGAGTTTATTTAGACTTAAAGCGAGGACTTATTTAAAAGTTTTGATCTTAAATCAACGACTTATTCTAAGTTTATGAACTGAAAGCTACGACTTAATCTGAAAAGTTTGAACTGAAAGCGACGACTTAATCTGAGTGTAAGAACTGAAAGCTACGACTTATTTTGAGCTTATCAATTAAAACTCAAAAAATGCACTAAACTACGTTGTGTCCCCAAAAACGATAAATCTTGCATACTCATCCCCAAAAAAATGTTCGTCCAACAATAATTTAATTTTTTTTAAA